TGCCGCGGCCAGCGCCACCAGGGCGTGTGCCTCGAGGCGTCCCCGCTGCGGAGCCGCAGCCTCGAGGAGGCCGCGCGGGAGGAGGAGGAGGCGGGCGGGCGCGCGCAGGTCTGGCTGGCGCTGGAGCACGTGCAGGACCCCATGAACCTGGGCGCCCTGCTGCGCTCCGCGTACTTCCTCGGCGTGGACAGGGTGGTGAGCAGCCGCAGGAACAGGTACCGCGCCCGCGGGAACGGGCACGGCTCCCGCGCGACGGGCAACGGCCCCACGGGACGGGCAACGCTCCCACGGGACGGGCAACGGCCCCACGGGACGGGTACAGCGGGACCGGGCAACGGCCTCACGGGACGGGCAACGCTCCCACGGGACGGGCAATGCTCCTGCAGGGCCTCCCGGGCCTCGTGTCCCGCAGGGAGCCCCAGGGACCGGCCTCGTCCCGCTGGGAGGCCGGGCCTGGCCCGCGCAGCTCCGGGAGCWCGCGGGGTGTTTGGCCCGAGCTGAGTGCGCAGCCCGAGGAGCAGAGGCACGCGGGGGATTTTGCAGAAGATGGGCTGGTTTTCTCTCTTTTTCCCCATGTCTCTTTATGCTGGGGGTGCTCAGCTGTGCACGCAGCTGCTGCAGCCCCTTCCTGGGCTAATCCCGGTGCCTTCCCATTCCCGATAGGAAGGTGGATCCCTACAGTGAGTGAGATCATTTGCAAACGAGTTTAGGAAAGAATTGCACAGGCAACAGAAGTAAATAAAAAACCAAAAATTCTCCTGTTTTCCCTTTTTGCCCTCACAAACTTTTCTGTTTCTTTATCCCCTTGCAGCTGCCCCTTGACTCCAACAGTGAGCAAAGCCAGCTCCGGAGCTATGGAAGTCTTCGACGTCTACAGCACGGATAATTTCCAGGGTTTTTTGAAGGTAAAACTACCTTTCTGAAGCAGGGGCTCCTCTCAGCGTTGTTTTAGTGCAGCCATGTGTGTGGGAAATCTAAAATACTGTTTGTGTTGGAGGGAGAGGAGGTGCAGAGAGAGGAGTCCCAAATTCCCGTGTTTCTGCCCTGCACTCCTGCCTGCTGCCAGCTGTCTGTGCTGTCGGACCAGCTCTGGACCAGGCTGGACGGCTCCATGCTCCAGGCCCCTCTCCGTGTTCCAGGCCCCTCTCCAGAGCACAGAAATAGCAGGATAAGCTGTGCCTGAGCGTGGGCTCAGCAGGACGGGACCTGTCTCCCTTGCGTCTGTAGGGACCGGAGCTGGTGGTGCTGGAGCAGAAGCAGCTTCCYAGGGCCTGATATACGAGGGCAGCATCCAGCAGCCTTCGGAGCAGGGAAGGATAGAGGAGCTGAGAATCTTTTCACCCYGTCCTCTGAGAAAGGGCCCCTGCAGGATATTATTGGAGAGGGAGGATGCAGATGGAAACACATGCTTTAATGGCAGCAAATCCAGAGCATTTGCTTTGTGTTGGCAGGATGTGTCCCTTGTTATGTGGTGGCCCAGCTCCTCCTGCAGGTCCCTGTGCGCTCCCTGGCACCCTGGTTCCCAGCCCGGTGCTCCCTCCGTGTCCCAGCACAGAGCTGTGGGACCGGGCACGTGTTGGTGCACGGCCACAGGGGAGCGGGGTCTTCAGCTGAGCCTCACGATTCCAGGGAAAACCAGGAAAACCCATGTCCAGCCATGCAATAGGTCTGCAGCAGCCAGAGCACTGGGTGATGGTGAAATTAAAGGCATATAAAATATATTGATATTTAATTGAAACAGCTGGAAGATTCACTTTGTTATCGTAAAGCTTGAATTATTAACATTTTGAGCCATTGCAGCAGTTCATTTAATTGGACCCAGATTCGCTGGCCTAACCCTTGGCATTGCCTGGCTGGTGTAAATTTGATGTAATGTAATGTAAAAAGTGCCAATTTCACAGGAAATGAAGCTGGCAAGAAGCAGCAGCTCTTTTTTATTGTTAAAATGGATATCCAAGACAAATAATTAAGGCTCTTATTACTGTGGTGAAGGAGAATTGCCGTTTCTCTTGTTATATGAGGGGCAGAGAGTGTCAAATCACCTGCTTTATGTGCGGGCAGTTTGTTGGTGTCCAAGCTTGGAGACAAACACTGGTGTTCACAGGTGTTACTGTGATTTTGTGCTGGCCAAGCCTGCCTGGGAGGGTTCCATTGCGTTGCCCTGCAGATTAGCTTCGTGTTCACATAACAGTACAGTTTCTTGAGTGAGTTCCCGGCCAAAAACACAAGTTTTTTTTTAATTACTAGCAAAAAAGAAAGGGGTCATTTCAGTTGCTGTTTATTTCCTTGCTGACCTGGAATAGACATCAGAAATAAAACAACCCTATAGATATTGATTTATTTTCTTAAAGCAAGGTTTGAGTCTTGGTGCTGGGAGGATTTGGGGGCTACAAGTGCAGGGGGTGTTTATTAACAGACATAAAAGCTAGTCAGCTTCACTGAAAGTCTGAAAGTGTTTACATGCATGTGCTTTTTTAAGCTTCAACAGTTGGGATTGTTTTTAATATTTGTCCCCTTCTCTGTTTCTTTGCAAGGCTAAAGCTGYAGAAGGCTGGGAAGTCGTGGGAACAGTCAGCAGCACTGAGGCCCCAGAAGATGTTCCTGTCATTAATTGCTTGGAATTTCAGTGGAGTAAACCCCTTATTTTAGTAATAGGTATTWCATCTTGCATTGCTGTGGGCTTGGTGGAAGCTTGTGTATGAGTGCGTGATCRGAGCTACTTGCAGATCTGCTCCGTCCTGCTTGGGAGTCTGAAAAAGAAAAGCTCAGACAGAAGCCCTAGAGAGAACTAGAAAGGAGGGATGCAGAAAAAGTGGGGAGTCTGGGAGCTTTCCAGGTGGAATTGCAGGAGCAAAACAGCTCATGTRGATAACTAGGAAGTTTAGTGGCTGCAGAGTGACTGGATGGTTGTCATGGATGGCCTTGGGAGAGCTCGAGCAAGCAGCTCACCCCGCACGCTGCCCGTGGCCTCGTGTGGCCACGTTGTAGCCCCCTGCTCCGTGGCACTTGGCACGTGAGCTGGTTCGAGCTTTTACACTTGGAAGTAGTGTCATTTTGGCAGAGAGCCATAGAGGGGCTGTAATCCTGCCCTGCGCTGCCGTTTTCTTGGCTCAGAACACATTCCTTTAATTAAAATGTTTATTGAACTCCTAGAAATACTGACAAGACAGCGCAGCAAATCTGGCATCTCTACAAGATGTGTGGAGCTGTGTTACAAAGGGAATAGAGAGGCTGGTGGTGCTACTGATGGACCACAAAGAAATGCATCCCAGAAAGATGACAACACCAAGAGAAAGGAAGGGGGGGAGAGTGGCAGTGGTGTCGTTACCTTGAATTATGAGAGATTTCTCCAGGAAAAAGTCCAAATATCCTTTTGTCAAGGGAGATTGGAGGCTGATTGGTAGATGCATGAAGAGAGCTCCCAGACCTTGCAGCAGTAATGATTTCAACTCTCTGCTGAGCACTAACTCTTCACTGGAAGGAAAATTGAACATTATAGTCTTCTGATGCTGGGGTTGTTTGAAGAAGCGTCCGAGATCTGAATATGTAGCGTGGAAGCAGCCACAAACAGGGAGAAGCAGAGAGAAATTAAGCTGGTTGTAAGCTTTCTAGCATTGCACAGATTGTCTTGTAAGTTAAGCATTTGTGGATGTGAATTTACCTTCCTGGCATTCTCRCTGGCTTGGCAAAGAGAACACCTTGGACCGTCCGGCTTGATGTTGTCTGCACTGTCCCCRGTGCCTGAGGTGACAGGCGGGCTGGCCGCCCTTACAGCTGCAAGCTCTGCGTGAAGGGGAACGGATTGGGAGCACTTGGATGTCCTCGCAAGAAGAGTTTCTGGGTTTTTGCTCTTCTTACATATTCAGGCTTTAGCTGAGGTTTTAAGGCTGTTTATGGAATTGGTAGTTTTATTTAGATGCTTAGTTTGCATGTTTTTCCAAACCATCAGAACTGACGTTTCCGCCTGGCTTTGAACATCCTGTATTGAAAACTGCAGTTGTTACATGAGTGTTCATTGGAAATGGGTCAGGAAGCCTCCTGAGCTGTTTATTTCAGGCACATTCTCTCTCTGGACGCGGAGGCTTTCGGGCACTGCTGTGCAAGTGTCTGGGAAGGTTTCTTGGAGGAGGTGGAGTCGTCAGAGCCTGGTCGGGTACTGCAGGTCCTTTTGTGCCTGTCATGAGAAGCCAGACCGAATCCTGGGCCGCACTGAGTGAGAGAAGGGGAGCAAACGTTCCTGAATACRTGTGAGCATGACCCAGGGACAGTGTCAGTGAGGGACAAAGCTGAGATTGAAGTCGGTGAGAGACAAAATGTTTTTGTTCATAGGCACAAACTAGGATTTTATCCAGTTCAGTCAACACGTGTCACTCTGCAGGTCTCTCTGCCCTGAATTTATGTATCCTAATCATTTTAAGCAGCCAGAACCATAATAAGCTTTATAAAAGCTGGAAGCAAAATTGTTGCCCTTATTAGAATTGTAGGACCCTTATCAGGGTGAGGAGAGGGCTGCCCCAGGAACTGCAGCAGCGCTGCTGTCCTGGTTGAAGAATYGCACGAGAGGGCGATTTTGAGAGGCTCAGGAGACAAATATTGCTGCAAGTCCCTGGTGACAACCTTGATCCCAAACGCCCTAGTGGGTGACGCGCTCGGCGCCCCAGGAGCGGTCAGGGATCGGGCAGGGTTGGGGTGAAGGGTAGGGCTGTCAGAGGCCCGTTCAGCTCCCGGGATGCACAGTCTGTTTTGCTAAGGGTGAGCACATCTTTCAAACGAGCCAGGCTTTCTTGCAGCCCTGTAGCTGTCTCTGGAACTCTAAATAATGAATGTGAAAGAAATCTTTGGGGAGCTGAGCACGTTGGGAGGTCTGTGGGCTTCTGCATTTCACATGTCTGCGCATAGGGTTGTTTAAAGCCTCTCCTTTTCCATTTCCCTTTGTGACAGTGTGAGTCAAACAACTACTAATGACCTGGGATAGATTTCAACTCTGTTTCACCAGTGTATCAGCCCAAACATATCAGGGCTGTTGGATGGTTTAACAACTAATCAATTGAAGCCTCTGGTTAAACTGTCTGCATTCACAAGTTGCACGCAGCTGGTGGTACTGTGTGTGGAAAAGGCTGAATCGGTCGCTATCGATAGGGATGTAGATTTGCAGGACCAGACTGGGCCTCTGGCCTCTTTTCTGCCTGTCCGCTGTGGAGCAGCCATGCCCTGGGACCAGGGGTCCCTGCACAACGTATCCTGACGTGGGCTTTGCACTGTACACATGGGTGTGTTGCATGGAACTTCCTCAAAAACACTTTGGAAACCCAGAGAACASATCCAAGGTGGTTGGGTTGGATGAGGTGCTGGCCTCTTTGGCTGGTCTTGACTCTCATTCCTTAGAGTTGGTGAGATTACTTGTGAGCTTGTGCAGGAGCAGGATGTATCTGTGAGGGAGCATTAGCAGGACCAGTGTTGGGGAAGGTGAGAAGGGGATGTGATAGTTGCTGGGAGCTGACCTGAGCAGAGTCTTTGTTCTGCAGGCAATGAAGGTGATGGACTTACCCTAGAGACACAGCGTTTGTGCCATCGGATGCTCATCGTGCCACCTGGCAGAGCCCTTTGCCCAGGGATTGAATCACTCAACGTCTCTGTTGCTACCGGTAAAAACAGGAAACATTTCACAGTTCAAATTCCTGTTTTAGAAATGAAACATCCAGGTCCCCAGAGCGATTTTCTTGCAGTTAAAAATAATAATCACCCACCTTTCCTACAGGTATTCTCCTGCACTCCATCTGCAGCCAGAAACTGAAGCGTGGTGATTGATGTTACCATGGCAGGCGGTGGAATCCATCCAGCCCAGCCCTTCTGACCAAGGAAGCTGCTCAGGACAGGGAAGTTCAGCTTCCAGGGTCCTCTCCAATGCTGCACGGTGTAAGGGAGACCCCCCGAGCTGAGCGTCCTGGCTGACGAGCTGCACTGCTGGAGTCCGACTGTCTGCACACCGCTAGGTACCAGCCCCGGAGGAGGGTTGTGAGGAAGTGAGGCAGAGCGGGGCTTTGGGAGCAGCAGCCGAGTCCTCCCGACTGCACTGAAATGTCCAGCCATGGCTGCACACCCGGCCTGTGTCACACGAGGGGCTCTGCACGTGGCCCGGGCTGCAGAGAGGGTTTGGGTGGTAGCTGGAGGTGGGTGTTGAGCGCTGCCTCCCACACCTGCCCCGGGCTGAGCCCTCTGCCCTGCAGCCGGGGCTCCGGTTCCGCGTGTTGCTGCTGCTGGCATTGGGGACTCTCAGCAGCATCTCCTTGCGGCGAGCTGGCTCCGCTGTTACGTGTCACTGCTCAAGTGTCCGGAAGCACCCCGTGTTGTATTTGGTTGTAAAATAGGTGTGCAGCCCTGCCCAAGGATGGACGCAGCGGAGCAGGCGCGGCGGCGAAGAGAGTCCGTTAAAATAAAGCTCTGTAAAGATTTGYTTGGAGACCCAAATCAGTCCTTTTTGTGTCATATATAAATCCACTGCATGATCAACAATCAGAAACAAGGCATTGCACTGGCTGCAGGTGAGAAGGGGAGCAAGGAGCTTGTTCTGCTCATCCCGGAAAGTTTCCTTCCCCAGGTGGGCCTGATTCTGTAGGAGCCTGAGCTGCCCTGACACCATCATCCCCCTTAGTGGCATGGGGGGCTCAGCAGATGGTGAGGGCTGCTTCACTTGCAGATATCCTGGATGAGAACCAGGCTGGCTAAATTATTGAGAACCAAATGAATGTTATCACTTAGCACCTTAATTWTTTTATTTAGCTGCTGTGGCCCTTTGCATAGGATTCCTCATTAAGACTTAATTTACAGTGCCCTTTAGGGATAATTTCAAACAATTCTGCTTAGCCTCCCCCCTCCTCCCCTTCCAAATGAACAAGTAAATCACTCAGAGTGACTAATTAGGACTTTCCTTTGAGCTAAATGAAGTCCACAGACTGTTCTGTGGGTGCAGAGCTTTTTGGATGTGTTGCTCAGGGGCTGCAGCGTGTCTGTGCRTCCTCCCTGCATCCTGGTGTTGGACAGGGTGACGCCTGGCCTTGCACCAGCGCCTGACCGGGATTCCTCTCCTTGGCCTGAGCGGCTGGGAGGCATCCTGGGAGCAYGTGGAAGGAGCAGACAGGCCAGGCACGCGCTGCGTGGGTCCTGCATGGGCAGCTTGCAGCTGGTTCCGCTTTTCYAGGGTGCCAAGCGCTGGCACCCGCAGCCCGTGGAGGACAGGGGTGCAGGACCCGGCAGCAGCCGCTCCTCAGCCCCTGCTGTGGGGAAAAACAAGCAAAAAACCCTCAAACCYGCCCTCCCTCCTGGCTCTGTGTGTCCAGCAGGGCCGTGGTGCCCTGGGGTGACATCTCCGAGCACGGAAATGGCAGAGGCTGGGGAAGGAGGCCGGGAAGAGCATCCCGAGCATCCCKCCTGGGCGCGCATCCCTCCCGTGGCCGCCCGGGAAGCGGCGCTGGCCCCAGCAGAGGGTGCCCGAGGTTTAGATTTGCTCATTTTCCTGAGGAAACGTTTAGGAGCTTTGAGGCTGAGTTCTTCCTTTAGAATGGGAGGGATGAGAATAACACCATTCCTTTATCCTTGACTTACAGGTAAGTATGTATATGTTTTTTCCGACTTGATAAAAACTGCAGTTTCTGCCTGCAATGCCCCGCTTCTGCTCTTTGTTTTGTTTTCCTGTTCCAGTTTGTGCAGCCAAGAGGCGGCCCTCGCCAAGGGTGCCGTCGTGCCGGCCATCCGCAAGGATCTGCAGGGATCCGCAAGGATCTGCAGGGATCTACAAGGCCGCCTCGCGCCAGCAACCACGAGCAAGGTGGGTGAGCGCACAACCCTGGCTCTGCAGAACCCCCGCAGCGGCGGCAGGGACAGGTGAGGATTTGGCACTGCCTCGGAGGGAAGCGTCCCGCGCTCCGAGCGGAGCAGGGGCAGAGGGAGGGCTGGGAGCAGCATCCCCTGCCTTTCCCCGAGTCTGGCTGGGGCGCATCCTGCCCCTTCCTCCCGCTCCTCCTCGGCGCCGTGGTCGGCATCCCTGTGCACTGGTGGCCGCTGTCCCCAGGGCCACCTGCTCCCCGGGGACCTCTGCGCGCCGGCACCTTCCGAGCCTGCGCTCGGCGCCGCGCCGCTCGCCCCCGATCTAATAACCACGATCCATTAATTGGATCATTGCCTGCTTCTCCAGTTAATTTCCTGGGTATTTTTAAATGTTAAAGTGTAGTTTTTATAGTCTTCCATTATTTTTAGCCTTAAGCCTGGCTATAATCGTCCCTGTAATGTAACTGTAAAAAACTCCCCACTTTATATCATAAAGGCAGACGTTAATTGTCTWTTTTGTGTGTGTGTACATCAGCAAGATCAAAACATGCTTCCTGATTACTTCTGTTTGTACATACGGCAGCTTTGATATTTAGATATGAATAAAGTGTGTGTGCATAATTTGAAATTCAGTTCTGCCCTCCCTGCTGCTTGCCATGGATTCCCTTCAGAGGCGTATTTACCGAATTGATCTTAAASTTTAGTAATTGCCCTTCCAAAATGATCTCTCTATAATCAAAGCGCCTCGGGGTGCAGTAACAAAATAGTTGTCCTTGTTAGTGGGAAGAGGAGCCATGTGCCCCTCTGCTTGTCCTTGGGTGAGGGCAACCGCCCGGCTCATCATCCCCCTAAAGCAACTTCAGTGCAAGCGGGTTGCAATCCAAGCTCAGCTCCTGTCCTGGGTCAGGTCTCTGCTCAGTTTATCAGCACAGCCAAAAACGTCCCACTCCATAAAAATCCGTATTGCTCCTGGGGAGGTTTGTGGAGAGCCGGCCCAGTGGGTTTGGGGCAGGGAGCAGCAAGTTGCTGGTTTTGTGCAGTTTCGGTAACGTCCCCGCGTGGAGCGCAGCCCCGAGGAGCGCTGCCGCCGGGACGAGCCGCCGTCACAAATGTAATCAACCTTGAGGTCTTGTTGCTTCCACAGGTGCAATTAACATTACCATCTGCTAATCCGTGATTAACGATGTTTACAAATATGCTACAACGTGTTAAAATGTGCGGGCGCTCTTCTGTTTTGTTCCCTTTTCTTTCCTCCTTCTCCCCGCTCCGCGCTTTGCCGGCGCGGCGCGCGGGAGCTTCCCGCCGGAGCTGGCGGCCGCGCGCGCTCGCCTTCCCGGATTTAAAAGTGCTGTTAAACTCCAAACCAGCTGCAGGAATGACAAGTTCAAATCCAAAGGTCACTGCCACTAAATGGGATTTAATTGCACGGGGGCTGAGGTACGAACTGGCGAATCTGAATAATAAAACTTTGTTGGAAGCGACATATGGCACGGTTTAAAGTAAATTTTTATTGATCGTCCCGCAACTGATGTGTTAATGAAATGGCAGTTTTGCTTTGGGTTTGATATTGATGTTGAGTTTTAATAATGTCACACAGGAATATTGTGGATTCTAATAGGAGGAGTTTTTAATTAAAAAAAAAAAAAAAAGGAGTATTTTCTATTAACTGCCTTTTTCTTTTTAACATAGAGAGGAATATTTTATCTCAACCGCATGTCCTCCAGATCTAGGTTACATGTAATTGCGCTGTAATTGGTAGAACCATGTAAAAGCCATGGTATTTGCCAGTAAACCCTCTTAAGTTACCATGAAATTGGAGTGTGATATTTATTCTCCATAAAACCGGCTTGGCGGCGGCGAGGGCACCGCGGGGCGCCCGGCCCGGCCTCGCGGGGCTGCTGCCCTGCTCCCTCGCGAGGGCAGCGGGTTGTTTTGCCACCAGGGAAGCCGTTGTATCCCCCTGGGGCTGCGGCTGTGCGGTTGGTAGCGTTGTTGGGAGGCCCAGTCGCGAAGGAGGGAGGTTCCTGAGGAGGCTGAGGCCGTTCTCCTGTTTCCCTGGGGACACTGATGACACCTGAGCCCTTTTTTGCAGCCTCCGGAGCATCTGTGAGCGCGCGGGGATGCTCCTCAGGTGCCAGGTGCTCCATCAGCGCCTCCAGTTCTTGCTGACGTTAAATAAGGGTCGTAGTGGTTGCTGAGCTCGCTGGTGAGGTGGCCAGGGCTGCGGGAGCTCATGGTACCAGCCCTCGGAGCAGCACGTGGTACCCCGTGGTGCTCAACGTCACGGGCATCTAATTGCACCCGTCTAATTGCACCCGTCTAATTGCACCYGTCTRATTGCACTCCTGCCACGTGCTGCTCTGGAGCTGCTTGGGTTTGTGCAGGAACGCCGAGATGAGGTTCCCTGCCCGGAATGAGGGCTGCTCCTCGTCACCACTGGCACAGGGCAGCCAGCTGCAGTGCCACCGTCCTCGGTGGCAGCCGCCTCGGGCTCGTCTGCTGCTGCRCGCCCTTAAATACGGGCGAAATAATTGACTTGCTTGTAATCAATAGCTTGACGTGCATTCAGCATGCAGCAACGTGCTGCAAAGTTAAACCTGGCCAATTTCTTTTTGTCTTTTCCTTCTCACTGGCGTGTTCCGGGAGCTGCCGCACCAGCAGCGGCTCTCGGCTGCTTCCTGAGTGATGGTTTGCCGCCGGGATCCGCAGGATGCGCCGGTCGGCTCCGCGGATCTGCGCGTCTGCTCCACGCATCCCACGGCTTGTGTGGCCCCATCGTGCAGGTCGGGGGCTGCCAGGGGTGCAAATCTCTCCCATCACATCCGTAAAGGCGCCTGGGAGGTGGGTAGAGGAGAAGGGAAGGGCTCTGGATGTTGCCCCGCGGCTGCAGGAACCCGTAGCCCTCCTGGCAGGCTGTGTCCGAGCCGTTTCCCACAGCAAAATTTATATTTTTGCATAAATCTTCAGAACAATTCCAATGTTTGTCTAATTGTGGGAGCCATTGCTGCCCATTTCTCCTTGCACGAGCAAATAAACAATAAAATAACCTGCTTTCCCTGCACGGGCCAGTGCTGCCGGAGCTAAAGCGAGGACTAGGCAGGCTCGGGCTTTGCTTGGCCTCATTAGCACCTTGCAGCAGGGCAGAGCTCGTCCCAGCCGCATCCCYGGCCTCCTGCTTCAGATTGGATCTGCACCTAATATGCATTTTTATATAAGCAAAGGTGTTAAATGGCCTCTCAGTTCCTCTGTAATGTCTTTTTTAATGGAAGGTCCTGAATTAAGAACGTGTATATACGACTCCAAGAATTTTCTAAGTGATATTGAAAACCTATTGTAGGGTAGGATTTCTTTTTGCAAAATTATTTTAATGAGGTTCCAGTTTATTTTCTGGCTATATTTTACCTATTTAATCCTCCAGAGGGGTTTTTCAGAGGCAGCATCTCATTTTCGATGCAACTATTCTTAACATTAGGGAAAACTGCCTTTCTGAAATGCATGAAGGAAAAAAAAAAAGAACCAGGGGAAGATGTACGAGATAAGAATAAACTTGAAAAGCTTTGAGGTGGTTTATGGCTTCTCTTGAAAGAATAACAGTTCATGTATTTTTGTTATGGTGTGGTTTAATGATGCTTGCAGAAAAAAGATAAGGTAGGAATGGAAATATAAAATTAAACCAGCAAAGTGAATGTGATTATTTTAGTTACTAGTATTACCTGGGGAAACAGGCTCTGGGAGGCTTTTATCTAGGCTAAATATTTGCTTTTCTGCACGGAAGGGCGCCGAGCATCCCGGAGGAGCACGGGCCGCGGGAGGAGGATCCCGATTCCCGAGTCTGTCCGTCTATCCGCTCCCGGCGCTTGGCTGCTGCTGCGGGCCAGGGGCAGCCCATGGATCTCCAGGCTGCCGCGTGTCCGAGATTCCCTTGCATCCCACAGGCTTCTCCCGTCCCCGGGGTCGGAAGGGACACTTCAGATGTCCCAAATTCCGCCCTTCCCCAGGCTGGGGCCCTTCTGCTCCCGGGCGGCTCCGCTCCGTGCTCCGAGGGGTCGGTGGTGCCGGCTCCGTCCCTGAGCCCCCGTGGCCGCCTGCTCCCCGGCGGGTCGCGAGAGGAGAGCTCGGAGATGAATTAGGCCTGACATGTGGCCTTGAGCCTTACCGGGTAGTTAATTTTTCAATTTCTTTCRTGGGTCTGGAATAGAGAAGAGTTTGTTTATAATTAAAGTACTTGAAGATTTATACTTTAATTCAGATAGCTGAAAAGAAGCAGTTTCTGTGTAGGTTTCTTCACTATCAGAATCTAAAACAGATTATTATGTAAATTTTTCCGATCCTAAATTCATTATAATATTCAATTTCAGGAAATGCTCTTGACCATCTGCTGCTGCTCTAAGAAATGAGTCCTGGAGATTGTTTACCAGCAGAAATATTGTAGGTATTTAGGATCCATCACCGAGGAATGCAAGGGCAAGGGATTTATTTCTGAATGCCGGTTACAGAAATGGGTAACGGGAGCCGTGAGCCCAGGCCCTTTCCCTGACACAAACTTTCCGCCCTGAAGTTCAGTGACCAGTTTGGTCATTGTGGGACGTGGGTCCCACAGCGCCCACGGGCAGCACCAGCTCCCACATCCCACTTCCCACGTCCCGTATCCCGCATGGGCCAGCGCGGCACGCAGCATCCGGAGCATCCTGGTGTGGAACCGCCTCCTGCAGCAGCTTCRCAGCTGCGGGAAGCGAGCGCTGCAGATGTAATTTGGGGAGCACCAATGGAAATAATATCCGCTATCTTTTAATGCAGTTGGATGTTTTTCGTTTTCCCCATGGGAATGAAAGGGACAAATGCTTACGGCAAGGCTGTATGGAAGGGACGGGTAGTGCCGCGTGTCCGTGGATGTCGCTGCTTTCACAGAGAGCTTTCAGTGGGACATACACAGATATTCCCATCCCATTTCCCCATGGACCGTGCCTGTTTCCCCAAGTTTTGTCTGGAAAACRCTGTCTCGTCGCATCGGGACGTCTCTGTGCAGAAAGGGC